GTCAACATAGAAGTAATACTCTGTTCAAGTATTGTTTCCTTTAGAATATTTAAAAACATTTATCCAACCATCCATTTTCTTTATGGAAAGGCTGTGGCTGAGTGGTTAGAGCAGTCGTCCTCCAATGCAAGAGTTGGTGGTTCGATTCCACCAGTGGCTGAAGTGTCCCTGCGCAAGACACTGAACCCCTCATTGCCTTCGATGTGTGTCCCATCGGTGTAGGAATGTGATAAAAGCACTGATTATTCTTTGTATAGCTCTAGTATAGTAGAGTGCTGTATGAATGGATAAATGAGGGCACAGATTGTGTTGTAAAGAGCTTTGAGTATCTTGATAAAAAAGAAAGGCGCTATAATATACAGTATGTAAGTGTCTGTATATAAGTATAGTACCATATACATACACATTTGCCAACCTCACAGGATGCTTTGGGCTTTAAGTTGTGCCACACAAGCATACAACTCATACCTTCACTATGGCACCTCTCTTCCTCTCAGTTGATTGGCTGATGAAGCCGAAGGGAGCTTGCCTGCCATGGTCACCTGACGCACCCAGACTGCCAGACTGCCAGACTGCGGTGTAGTGGATGAGCGTGTGCTCGCTGTCACCACTTGTCTCTGTGGTTGTGTCGCTCCTCTCAGGGCTGCAGACAGCTACTTTCTACAGGCTGTTCTGCTTTGGCCAACGCTCCATTTGTAGTTTCCCAAGCCGAAGCACCAATGCTCAGCTAAAGTTGAGCTCTTGGTTTCTACCCCTTCTTTATAAACGTTTAAGGAAACTTCATTAGATCATAAAAAAGGCTAGTATATTTTTTATCGTTAATTTAATTTTACTGTCATCTTTTATGAGCCATTTGCAAACTGAACTTTAATTAACTTGTCAGCAGCAAAATGCCTATATTGTATAATAATGATAATAATGACAATTTATTTTTGTTATCAGTGGTTGTATGTGTGATCTTGTGCAATGTTGCTAGATCATGTGAGATGCATTAATGCTCGGAGTACGTACTGAGAATGACTCTCGGCTATCCATCCATCCATCCATTATCTTTACCCGTTTATTCCATTTTGGGTCACGGGGGTCACTGGTGCCCATGTCCAGCAGTCACTGTGCGAGAGGCGGGGTACACCCTGGACAGGTCGCAAGTCCATCACAGGGCCACATAGAGACAAACGAGACAAACAACCATTCACTCTCTCACTCACACCTAGAGACAATTTAGAGTTACCAATCAGCCTAACATGCATGTTTTTGGTCTGTGGGAGGAAACCGGAGTACCCGGAGAAAACCCACGCATGCACGGAGAGAACATGCAAACTCCACCCAGAGAGCCCCTGGACCGGGGTTTGAACCAAGGACCTGCTCACTGAGAGGCAGCAGCTCTACCAGTTGCGCCACCGTGCTGCCCGACTCTCGGCTAAAAGACCAAATTTAAGCTCAATATCTGTAAATTCGACTGAGTTCGAGCCATTTTTTGTTTTTGCTCAAATTGGCTGTGAGCATCAAGTCATTAGATATTTTGTTAAGAGACAGAAATGAACAAAAACAGACAGACGGGCAAAAATATCATCACCATTACCAAAATCGGCAATTTTTTAGTAAAGGGTGGTTCAAGACAGTGCAAAACTGTAGGTTTTTTTCAAGTCACAAAGTCACCCTGAGGCTCCTTGAACTGATGAAGTCCTTTGGATGAAGGACGAAACGTTTAACAAAAAAGAAACCGTCCAGAGGACCTGACTTAACTTTGTTTGACATTTTTTTATGTGGATTATTGAGCATGAACTTTGATGGTTTGAACCACTTTGGCCATGGCTGCCTCAGAGGAGTCGACGGGGGAGAGGGCAGACTCCAGAAACTATCTCATCACCATCAAACTGGTTGGCTCACTACGTGAATGTGCTGTCTGTGGGACTGAGTTTGTTGTGGCTCCTCAGACTGATGAAGTCCTTTGAATGAAGGACGAAACGTCTCAACACGAAGAAATCATCCAGAGGACCTGACTTAACTTTTGTTGGATTTTTTTACCGGGATTATTGAGCATGGACTTTAATGTAGGTTGGGTTTTTTTTGTTTGTTTGTTTGTATTCCTTTTTTTCTGCAGTAGAAATTAATTTTTTGTTTCAGTCTCATTTTATCTGATAATATTAGCATCGTGTACTGCGTCCTTATTGGTGAAGCCACAGTTGGACCCCTGAACACTCCTCTACACTGAGTAGGAGAAGTCTTCTAGTATAACAGGCGAGTCTCCAGTCGGGTTGTCCATACGGCAGATGGAGTGATGGGCTGTAATTATGTGTCTGGTAAAAACAGCCTCATTGTGAACAAGGGCAGCGAGCTTGGTGTTCTGAGCGCAGGGTGTTCCATCATCTGCTGTTGTCTTCGGGCTCAGATGGGGAGAAATTCAGGTATGATGACTCATAACTGGTCTTTCAAGGCGCTGGTTTCTACCTCTGATTCATTCTGGTCCTGGAGGGAGCCTGCAGTGGAAGAGAATATGCATGTTAGTGCGCAGTGACTCACACACACACACACACACAGAGGATAAATTATTATAAAGTCTGCTTCAGGGCAGTGTGTTACTGACACCCAGTGGTTTTATTAAACGAGGGAGGAGATGAACCACTGCATCGCAACGGCACGTTTGTTTGCAACTGGAAGATGTTTTTTTGTTTGTTTGCTTGTATTTTTGTTTGTTTTTGTCATACAAAGCCAAAAAAGGGGGGAACAGTCAGGTTTTCAAATTATATTTTAAAAAATGTGTTTTTCTCTCTCATTTACAGAAAGGGAAGGACCCTCTTTACGCTCAGATCAACAAGGGGAAAAAATAAAGTGACTCGCAGGAAGACAGACCTGACCAGCATCGAGTTAACAGGAGGAGAACCCTTTACCTGTGAGTGTGTTGCACATCCTCGCCTGACCAAGCCCTTCCTACTCTCCTTCTGCTAACAACCTCCCAGGAGGAGCCTCAGCACTCCCACAGTCCTCCTCTCTGCAGTCTTTCCTCCTCAGAGGAGAAGAGAGCCCCCTCTCGGTCACTCACCACAGGCAGGAGGAACATCAATCACCGAGACGGATTCAGCTCTCCCTCTCTGCTGTGCTCTCTCCTCTCCTCCCCCTTTTGGCAACTCACACCCAGCCTTACAGACGTAAGCCACTCGCCTCCCTCCCCTTTTGCTCTCACGCCCTTTCCTCTGCCTCCCCATGTCTGGCCAGAGACTGCTGCCAAGAAGAGACTGAACAAGCAGTGCCTCCCTGTCTCCAACACGCCCATACACACATGCTCGTACTCATCATTTTGACTGACAGAATCCTGCTACTGGAGCCAGGACACCCCGGAGGAGGAGCCGGACTTTGGGCAGGCCCTTTTGAGGGGGACCTGCTATAATGGGATCGCTGGTCCTGATTGGTCAGTTGGTTGATCTGGGTGTTTTCTCCCCATGCTTGTGAGTGTCTGCTGGATCACTATGCAGAAATAAACTCTCTGGGAGCTGCTCACACACTACAACTACTTACACACATGCAAACACACACAGAGTCATGGTACTCCTTATGTGACACACACACACACACACACACATGCACAGAGTAATTTGCCAAATGTCTCTCCTTGCAGACACAGAAGCCGTTATGACCAGACATGGTGAGCGATGAACCCTGAGAGGGGAGGTGTTGCAACTTTGAACAGGTTCTGTGATGGAACTGTTCATTCTCTATAGCTTTTGTACAATAATGATTTAAGAAAACAAACAAAAAAAAAAGATCAAACAGAAAAATTGAATTTTAATTTTATAAGTCAATCAAGCCGCTGGGGTCAGCTCTATAGAGATTATAGAGTCAACATGGCTTTAAGGCATCTGATTGCTGGTTTGCCAAACTCATTTTGTAAATAATGAGAATATAACAAATACCATTTTGTCCACTGGACCTCTGTGCCATAACATAGGAAGGCTTCAGTTATGCAAACTCTTTGACGTTAAACCCAAGCAATACCAACATGCATTTACTTTTCCTGCTTGCAGTCTTTTTTTTTTTTAATCTCAGTGTCTCCTTACTAACGTCTGCTCCCTCCCTGAACCATTCGCCACGCCTCTCTTTGTCTTCTCAAGTCCCATCGCCTCACATTATTTTTATGCCCAAAGTAAATTAGCTTCTGCGTGTTATGTTAGCCCACCCCTGTGTGCCGCAGCTCACAAAACAATCCTTTTTATGTTGCAGGCAGCAGCTATGCTCTCTGTAAGCAGAGCTGAAGCTGCTGCCCTCCATCTTCCTCTTATCCTTAAAATAACAGCAACCCTCCACATCTCTGTCTGTCTGCTGGTCAGGTGTCCAACTCCTGCAGCCCAGTCGTGGACTGCAACATCCTCCGCTACAGCCACATTAACTGTGATGCCAATAACTGCCTGTTTTATGGCCAGAGTCCTCACGTCATTCGAACTCTTTTGGACCACGATGTTAAATATACCAACCAGATGATGAGCAAGAAGGTGAATTAAAAAGAGAAATGTTTGCTGTTTGAGTACATAACATTTTTAGATCTATTTTAACTTTACCTCAGCTAACAGTTTCTTAATGTAAATGGAAGCATTATTTTTATCTTTATGAATATGACATTCTACAGTGGGTTTTTAGATGATTTTTTTTTTTTTGTTCCATCTTGATTTATGTATTCAACCATGTATTTACCTGTTACAAATAAACACTCCCCCCAAATGATTAACATGTCATTTGTTAATATGTATGACTTTTTTTATGTGTTTAAAGAAGAAAGTGTGAGCCTAATGGTGTGTGTCCCAGATGTGACCCCCGTGTGTGTAGTTATTGTACAGCCAGTGCCGCAGCATAATGTTGTAAATCCACACAGTTTTAATGACCCGTCACAGTGTGCTGCACAGGCAGCTTCTAGAGTAAGCTGTCATGAGCTTTATTAACAGGCAAACATAAAACACAAACCCCGGCATTTTTTATTTGAGCTTTGTTTATTTCCTCATTTACAAGAAAAATGCATCACAACAGCTTTGATGAGCTGCTGCTGCTATCAGTTACAGCTTTGACTCATTCATGATGGCACCTGGCCATGATTTCAGTCTGACTTTGTAGGATACACATCTGTGACACTAACACCACCCAGCTGTTTTGAAGGGATGTTACTGTCTAACGCAGTGGTTCCACAACTTCTGTTAATTTCAGACCCATAACCATGGCTTATGATCTCATCTGTTGCTGGTTTACATATCCATCCATTCATCCATTCATCCATCATCTTTACCAGCTTCTTCCTTTTCAGGTTGCAGGGGTCACTGTTACCCATATCCAGCAGTCACTGTGCACCCTGCAGGTCTCCAGTCCACCACAGGGACACATAAAGACAAATGAGACAAACAACCATTCACTCTCTCACTCACACCTAGGGATAATTTACAGTTACCAATCAGACTAACATGCATGTTTTTGGTCTGTGGGAGGAAACCAGAGTACCCAGTGAAAACTCGTGCATGCACGGAGAGAACATGCAAACTCCACTCTGAAAGCTCCCCAGTCAAGCTTTGATCTGGTCACCTTATTGTTGAATGGTGGCAGCTCTACCACCACTGTACCACCTCACACGACCTCATCTATTGCTGGTTTACATATATAGTCTTGTAAATGTTTGTTTTCTTTGAACTGCTCCTTTTTGCAGGGGTTGCCACACTGAGCAAGCTTCCATGAAAGATTTGACACTTGTTTGATCCTAGATTCAAAAAGCGTTCAATACAAAAACAACTGGACTTTATTTGTAACAGAAGACGTTTCGCTCCTCATCCGAGGAGCTTTCTCAATTCAATTCTTTTTGAATTCATCATGTCCTGGATGACTGAGAATCTTCACCAGCATTTTGATCCTAGATGTTATCCAACCTGGCTTCTAACCTACAGCCTAAGGATTGCAAGACTGGGGCACTGACCAGCAAGCCACCACTTGTTTAACATTTCTATTAAACAAGGACAAACTGATAGTACTACAATTTTTATAAGTATGGGGTTATTATTTTTATTTCTTGCAACAATACGGTAAAATTAAAGGCCTAGCATTCATTGAAGAAATGCATATTGCCTGATGTCTCTCATGCAAAAGTTTTAGACCAAGAATATCTAATGTTATAAGCAAGAGTTGTAACCATTTTGGTCAACCGTTAAAAATTAAATTGTGCACAATCTTGTGCAATACCACACATGGTTTGTTAGCACTTGAATGCCTGTCAGCTACTACCATACCAACCTTTAGCTGAATAGTTGTAATTAGCTGAATTATAAACATTTGGCATTTTCTAAAGTCATCTGGTTGCGGTAGCCATCTTGAATTAGGCTGATTTTGAAGGTAACCAGTTGTATTAACCTTTATTTAAACAGGCAAATCTCACTGAGGTCATAGGAAGGCCTGAAGGCAGCCTAACATGCAGGTTTATGATATGTGGGAGGAATCTGGATTACCCGGCGAAAACATGCAAACATTAAGACACCATGCAAACTCTGCACAGATAGACCCCTGGTCAAACTGGGGATTGAAACCAGGACTTTCTTGCTGTGAGGCAACAGTGCTAACCACTAGGCAATTGTGATGCAGTAGATTGTAGAAGGACAACCACTGATTACTTTCTAAGAATTTCCTTAAAATTAATTTAGTGGTTAATGAGCTATTTTGCTAACACAACCAACAAAACAAATAAAACATACAGACACGGACAAATACTTCATTGGCCTTGGGTGGTGGATGATAAATCTAAACTCCCGCTTGGTGTTTTAAGACCCTCGTCAGGCTCCTGACCTCAGCTTGGCTGTTGCACAGTTTGACTGTAGGAACTTTTCTTTTGGACTATTTCCTTTGTGAAAGCTGTCAGTAGGGAAAAGTCCAGGCGAATCTGCACTCTTTGACATTTTATATGTTCTTTAATGTGTGAAATTTCAAACTAGTATTCCAAAAGTCTTTATTAAGAGGTCTTTGTTAGCTTAACTACTTTCCACAATGGCAGTGTATCAGTTAATTGAATGGAAGTAGAATCAGCTCGCAGCTTTTCATTCTGTCAATCAGGCACTGATCTGAACAAGATCTGTTTCGTGTTAAGTTACAATATTATTCAGAACAGTCTGACGGACCTATCTGTGTCAGGCAGTGTGTTTGAGTCATATTGTAAATACCTTCTTCAGTAGTTGTGCATTCTGTTTACCAGACCTGGAATGTTGACTGACCTTTAAAGTATCTTTTTTTCTTGATTGTTTACTCCAGAAGTAATATTTTTAAAAGTACGAAAAAGTTAAATTAAAAAAAAAGTTAAAATCCGCTCAAAACACCAAACTCCACTTGTTTTTAATTGATGATAGGTATTTATACAGTTTTAAAAGCCCAGACCAACCAAGTAACAGTCTTAAGGCTCCCAGCCCCAAAGGCCTTGTGTGAGTGAGTCAGTGCGTGCACACGCAGTGCCAGCCAGGTGACATTCCTGCAGGACAGAGAAAAAAACAAAAGCTAACTGTGTTACGTTAAATGAGCCCGACTTGTTTGTCAAGCTGGACGGTTTCCTTCCAGATGAGAGGGAGTTTTCCAACTCAGCCCCATTCCTGAAACCACCTGCCTGCTGCACGCCTGGGACGCACAACGCTCTGCGTCTGAGGGGGAACCCACTCTGAAGAGCCCACAGTTTGCTTGAGATTAAAGTGGGATCTCTCCAGACCCAGGATGAGAGGCTGATGAAGACAACAGATTTAAGGATCTTGTTTGCCATTTCTGTGGAGACTGACACTTGACATCATGGAGCAGGTGAGTTGTCCAAACACCTCCCAACAACTTGCTGCATTTTTATGTCAGGTTGTGAAGCAGGCAGAAGTCAGTCTGATTTGTCTTATAACGTAGTAAATGACACCACATGTTACAAAAATTACAAAAACTCAAAAGGACAAACCCAAACTCACCTGGATCATGTTGGTATCTTCAGATCTATCTGTTAGATTTCAGTGGATAATGCAACAAAATAATGGGGTCACATTTTACTGTCAGTGACTCTTCCCAGGTGGATTATTATCATTAATACTAATATCTGCTCCACATTTGATACATTTTGGAGATATATTCTGACTTCTGACCTATTTTTTCTCAAAATTTTCTGAATAAGTATATATTATATGATAGGTTTGTCAGTATATGTGTGTGTGTTTGTGTGTGTGTGTGTGTGAACATCAAAAATGTGGTAGAAATAAGATTTAATTAAGAGAACATAAGTTAAACAAGCTTCTGAAATGTAGATTTTGGTGTTTTAACAGAAAATACAAACCCCCTTGATT